ATCCGTACTCTCTGTGATCTAGCTTTCCTTTTGTTCAAGTACCTTATTAAACACATCCGTACTCTCCGTGATCTAGCTTTCCTTTTGTTCAAGTACCTTATCAAACACTTCCATACTCTCCGTGATCTAGCTTTCCTTTTGTTCAAGTACCTTATTAAACACTTCCATACTCTCTGTGATCTAGCCTTCCTTTTGTTCAAGTACCTTATTAAACACATCCATACTCTCTGTGATCTAGCTTTCCTTTTGTTCAAGTACATTATTAAACACATCCATACTCTCTGTGATCTAGCTTTCCTTTTGTTCAAGTACCTTGTAAACTCTTCTAGCATGGGCTCAGTCCTTGGGACTGACCTCATAATCATTTTGTGCTTGTTATAATTTTCTTGTTATAACTTTTATAACTTTTAGTAAGTGTATGTTAATGAAATTTGGCAGATTATCAGTAAACATTACAATGCTTTCATACATAAAATAGAAATTATTTTTATTATGTCTTAAGCAATGTTTCTCTTATGCCTTTTTTTTCTTTTTTGCAGGTTGCCTATCCAACATGCAAAATTATTTTCATTTTAAGATTAAAAATACTTCATTAAAAATACATTAGAAAATTTTCAAATTTCACATGCGAAATCTTTATTATGTCCAGATAGTTATCTAACATTTCTTAAGAAAAAACTTTATATTTTTTCTGTTATTTTCAGTAATGAATTCTCTGTACGGGTTGGGCCGATTTGACCGATCCTATAACCACCATAAAAAATTAGGAAATAAATATAAATTATGCCTCTTTTGTTCTAGAATGAACATAAATTATAATATGAAAACATAAATATTTATACTAAATAGCTTAAATCTCAAAACATTAAACATTTATATATATTTATTATTTTTATTATATTGACATTTCAGCCATGCTTGGCTAACAATACAGAAGTTAAAATGACCAGGCATAAGTGCACTCATGTTACCGTATACAATAACATAAAACTGACCTTTGGTCTGTACAAAGTAAGTTGTCTTGGTTGTGTTTTAGTAGACTAGTATTTTGTAAAATACTGTTACATTTCAATTATTATACATTATATATATGTATATAGATTATTTGTTTTAGTAGACTAGTATTTTGTAAAATACAGTCACATTTCAATTATTATACATTATATATATATATGTATATAGATTACTGCTATTTAGAAGTAAGTTCTCAAACTTATTTTTCTTAAAAAATAGAACTGTAAATAAAGAAGTAAAGCAAACAATTATCTCTTGTAGTTACAACTTTTGTACTCCGTTGCTGCTTGACATAGGTTGCTAAGCCTTATAAAATTTTGCACGTGGTGGGTATGAAATCATATAATTTTTTAGGTTTTATATATACAGTTGAATAACTAAAAAAATCATAAATTACTACATCAATACCATAGAATTCCACTATAATTTATCAAGCTTAGTAACTAAGCTGTATTTCAGTCTAAAAAATATATGAAATTTTGAGCAGACTAAAGATACAACCTACCTCCTTGAAATCTTGGGTCGAAAAAAAGAAATGGTGATTTAAGACTTTAAAATGGCTAAGAAAGCCACTAGGGGAACATTCTGAGCTTTTGATTGGTTATTCATGTCAATAATAGAAGTAAGTGTTTATAAGGAAGCATTTCCAAAATTGGGTGTGGTGCCGCTGTGTTTGATTTGTTACATGAGCAATATTTTAGCAAATTGAAA